AAGTTAAAAAGACAAAAAAAAAAAAAAAAAAAACCACATGTTCTTTGAGTCAATTTCAACTCATGGTGACCCCATGCATTATGGAGTAGAACTGCCCAATAGGGTTTTCTTGGCTATAATCTTTACAGAAGTAGATTGCCAGGCCTTTTTTCTGTGACATTACTGGGTAGGTTTGAACTGTCAACCGTTGGGTTAGTAGTTGAACACAAACAATGTGCACCACCCAGATGGCATGAATTCCCAGGAGAGCAGGCAACACTCCTGTTGAAAGCATTTGCTCCTTGGTTGCCTAGATGTGTCGCTCATCGCTCATTTTCTAGCTTGGATTTGGAGCCTTCTAAGCTCTGGTGGCATAGCACCTCATGCATATGACTGCTAACCAGAAGGTTGGCAGTTCAAACCCATCAGCCACTCCTTGGAAAAAAGATTGGCCATCTACTTCCGTAGAGATACTGCCTTGGAAACCTGAGGAGGGGTCGCCATGAGTCAAATTGACTTGACAGTAGTGAGGTTTTTTTTTTTGGGGGGGGGGTTTTAAGGATTCTATGATCCTCTGAAATTCTTGTAATATGTCCATTTTTGCTTAAGTTACTGTTACGGACTGAATTACGTCCCCTAAAAATATACATCAACTTGGCTAGGCCATGATCCTCAGTATTACATAATCATCTTGCATTTTGTGATCTGATGTAATTATCTCATGTGCTGTAAATCCTAACCTCTAAGATGTTAATGAGGCAGCATTAGAGGCAGTTATGTTAATAAGCAGGATACAGTCTACAGGATTAGGTCGTATGTTGAGTCAATCTCTTGAGATATAACAGATTAAACAAGTGAGCAGAGATCAAAGGGACCTCAGTACCACAAAGAAGAAGAAAGGGGGCAGAGCATGTCCTTTGGACCAGGGTCCCTGTGCTGAGAACCTTTCAGACCCAGGGGTACTTGTTATTGCTGCACTAGAGAACTAAGACATTTACACAGTTGTTTAACATTCCAACCAAAATACTTTTTGTTTTGGTTTATGAACATCCTTGTTCTCTTCCTTCAGTTAGGACAATAGGAAGTTAACTGTACACCTGGCTTTCAAACACAAACCTACATCAGAAGCACCTGGAGGGCTTGTGAACACAGGTGGCTCAGGCCTGGGTTTCTGCTGCATTAAGTCTGGGGTGAGACCTGAACATTGGCATTTCTAACCGTTCCCAGGTGATGCTGCTGTTGCTCTGGGGTCTGCATGTTGGAGGACCATTGGCCTAGAATATACTAGATCCTCCTCCAATCCTGTCCAAATATTTAGCAAACAAACAGTGACTTAGGATTTTACTTGGGGTTGATTTCCCTGGTTATTGTTGCTTCTACATTATAGGTGAGTTACGATGAATTTGGACTTTCATTTGTCTTATTTTCCCAAACACATTTTTCCTGGGTAGTAGCATGAGTAGGTTTTGGTGCAAAAAACTAGCCCACACATTTTACTAGTAAGTGCTACCATTTACCAAGCACCTCCTATTTAACTGCTAATTCTACATGCATGATTTAATTTAAACCTCACAATAAATTTTATGATAAGCAAGATGAGGTTTGGAGAATATTATTACCTTGCTCCGTCCCCAGCTGGTAATGTGGGGGCCAGGGGAGAGAGGTCTGTATGATTTCACAGCTGCCCTCTTTTTAGCACCAATCACTGCCTTCAGATGGTGTGGTGGCTACATATGAGGTATGCTGGCTGGAAATCGAACCCAGGTCTCCTTCAGGGAAGGTCAGAATTCTACCACTGAACTAGCCCCCTTCCAACACATACACAAGGGATATTCCCAAAGTTACCTTCCTGATCATTTTCTTTAAAAGATGAATTCTTAATCTAGGGATTGTAGATCCTTAGAGGAGCCACTGATTTATTTGCACTTATGAATTTTTCTGTGGAAAGC